ACCATTTGAAGTACTTAAGCGAGTAGGAGAGGTGGCTTATGAGTTAGCCTTGCCTCCCGGGCTGTCCGGAGTGCATCCGGTATTCCATGTGTCGATGTTGAAAAGATACCATGGGGATGGAAACTACATCATCCGTTGGGATTCAGTGTTGCTTGATGAGAACTTGTCTTATGAGGAGGAGCCTGTTGCTATTTTTGATAGAGAAGTTCGCAAGTTGAGGTCAAGAGAGATTGCATCCATCAAGGTGCAATGGAAGAATCGACCCGTTGAAGAAGCCACTTAGGAGAAGGAGGCAGATATGCGAGAAAAATACCCACATCTGTTTACAGATTCAGGTACTCCTTTTCGCCCTTGTTTTCCTTCTTTTGATCGTTTGGGGACGATCGATGGGTAAATTGGTATCTATTGTAACGACTTGTTTAGTCGTTTTGAGCAACAAACTTCAATTCTGGAAAAACTGGCTGAGGCGACGGACCAAACGACGATCCGTCATGGGCACAACGGACCGTCGAAGGGCCTCGTTTCAAAACACTTAGGAAATCTGAAATTGGGTACTAAAAATCGACTCTCTGAACTTCGTGACGGAATGGCAGGACGGACCGTCACAAGCGTGACGGACCGTCACAAGCGTGACGGACCGTCACAGATTGTTCAGTGGAAGTTGACTCTCTGACCCTTGCAACGACCTGCAGGACGGACCGTCGCAGGCACGACGGCCCGTCACAGGTTGCGCAAATCCCAGGCAGAATCGGATTTCCTTACACGTTTTAAGGGACGTTTTTGGACTATTCTTTCCTTAATTATAGATTTCGTGGGTTTATATTAATAACTCAAATTCTTGGGGGTAAAAAGAGGTAACCCTAAGTTAATTAGTGGGGTATTATTGCCATCTTTTATTCTTAATTATATACTAATTAGGGTAAAAGAAAGAGGGTTTGAATAAGAAAATAGAAAGAACAAGAAGGGAGAGAGAGAAACGATCGAGAAGAAGAGGAAAACACCAAGCTTTGAGGATTAACTTGCTTGATTTCAATTCTTCGGTGGAGGTAGGTTATGGTTTTCATGCTTTCATAAGTAAAATCTCAATAGTGAATGATATGTATTGGTAGTATTGTAAACCCTACTATATGCTTAATGGTATGTTTGCATGAATATGATTATGTGATTGTGATAAGATAAGCATGATGAAAATATTGAATCCCAAATCTTGAAAAGAAAACTTTAATATACATTATTAATGATGATGCCTTGGTATAGATGTTGAATATTGATAGTTATTGAATTGGTTTTTATTAATGAGTTTAAGTCTTCCGCATTACTTTCTATTGTTATTACATTGAAATGTTAAGGTTTAGATTGATTGGTTTGCTCACATAGGAGGGTAAGTGTGGGTGCCAGTCGCGGCCCGGATTTGGGTCGTGACAAGAACTGGAAAATTTCATTTGGGAAATGGAATAGTATTTCCTTGCTGCAAGGGTGCCTGACACCGACAAGTTAAACATTATCACAATGTACTTGGTAGGTGATGCTAAACTTTGGTGGAGGACTCGAAATGCAGATGATGTAAGGTCTGGTCATCCTATAATTGATACATGGGATAGGTTAATAAAAGAAATGAGTGATCCATTTCTTCCTAGCAACGCATCTTGGCTTGCAAGGGAGAAATTGAAAAGGCTAAGGCAGACGGGTTCGGTAAGGGAATACATTAAAGAATTTACCTCTGTGATGTTAGACATGCAGAATATGTCTGATAAGGATAAATTACACAACTTCATTCCGGGTATGCAAGGTTGGGATCAAAACGAACTTAGGAGGGAGAATGTTAAAGATCTGCTTGCGGCAATTGATGTTGCAGATTTGTTGGTTGGTTTCCGGGTGACTCGCACTTTGACAGATGTCCCCTCCACTTCAAAAACTAAGAAAAATAATGATAAGAAAGGGAAAAGAAAAAAGGATAGTCATAAGGACAATAAAAATGACAAAGGAAAGGCATAGATAAAGGATGGGAAAGACAGACCAAAGAATAAATATGGTAATTCTAAGGGCTGTTGGACTTGTGGTGGTCCTCATTTGGCCAAATCTTGTCCTAACCGGGAAAAAGTGAATGCTTTGCTTGCTGGAAATATGAATTAAAGGGAGTAGGATGAAGAAATCGTGGCTGCGATGCCAAACCCATTGGGATTGTCCTTCAATCATATTAAAGGGATTAATAATGTTGGAGAAATCTCTAGCACTTCGAATTCTCATGCTTCCTTAATTCATATTAAAATGAAAGTGAAAGAACAATGTGTGATTGCAATGGTTGATACAGGGGCCACTCATACGTTTGTAGATGTGAAAATTGCTACGAAATTGGAGCTTAACTTGTCTAAAAGCCCTTCCTACGTCAAAATAGTCAATGCTAAGGCACAAGCCATTGTGGGCATGGCTTATGGTGTGTCTATGTTGACTGGAAGTTGCGTGGGAAAACATAACTTCATGGTGATGCCGCTTGGTGACTTTGAAATCATACATGGGATTGATTTCCTAAGAAAATTCCAGTTTGTTCCGTTTCCTCACTTAGATGGAGTGATGGTCATGAATGGAAGCAATGCTGGATTTCTCAAAGGTGTTCATCCATTTGGGAACATTAATAAAGTTTCAAAGAAGAAAGACAAGGGAATGTTGTTGTCTGCTATGTTAATCGACAAAGGGCTGAAGAAGGGTGATGACACTATACTTGCTGCCTTTGTTGAAGTAAAACCTGAAGGGAAAATGGAAGTGCCTGATTGTGTTGGTGAATTACTTAAACAGTATGCTGATGTTATGCCGTCTGAATTACCAAATAAATTACCATAAAGGAGGGATATTGATCATAAAATTGAGTTGCTTCCTAGTACGGTTGCTTCTGCACATGCTCCTTATCGTATGAATCCTAAGTAATTGGTTGTATTACGCAAAAAATTGTATGAATTTCTAGATACTGAATTTATTCAGCCATCTAAGGCCCCATATGGTGATCCTGTCTTATTTCAAAAGAAACAGGACAGGACGATGAGAATGTGTGTAGATTACCGTGCGCTTAACAAGGCAACTATAAAGAACAAGTATCTGGTTCCATTGGTGCAAGATTTGATGGACAGGTTAAGTAAAGCATGCTGGTTCACGAAACATGATCTCAGGGAAGCTTATTGGCAGGTTAGGATTGCAGAGGGTGATGAACCAAAAACAACATGTGTAAATAGATATGGTTCATATGAATTCCTTGTAATGCCATTTGGGCTGACAAATGCCCAGGCAACGTTTTGCAACTTAATGAATAATGTACTGTTTTACTATCTTGATGACTTTGTTGTTGTTAATCTAAATGATATTTTCATTTATAGTCGAACATTAGAGGAACATATTAATCACCTAAGTTTGTTTTTGTCTCAATTGACAAAATACACACGTTATGTCAAGATGGCAAAGTGTGAGTTTGCTCAACAAGAGATAAAGTTATTGGGGCATCTTGTCAGTAAAAACTAAGTGCGAATAGATCCTAAGAAAGTGCAAGCCATTGTTGATTGGCACGCAGCTCGTCATGTGAAGGATTTGAGGTCGTGTCTTGGCTTGGCTAACTATTACAGAAAGTTTATTGCTGGTTACTCAAAAAGGGCAGCGGCTTTGACATATTTGTTGAAGAAACATACAATGTGGGTTTGTTCTGAAAGATGTGATGAAGAATTTCTGAATTTGAAGAATGCTATTGCATCTGAACCTATACTCAAATTGACTTATTTTGAGTTACCATTTGAAGTGCACAGTGATGTGTCAGACAAGGCAATTGGGGGTGTATTAGTGCAGGAAGATCATCCAGTGGCCTTTGAAAGTAGAAAATTCAATAATTCTGAAAAGAGATACTCAACACATGAAAAAAATGGTTGCGGTAGTACACTGTTTGCAGGTTTGGAGAGTTTATCTCTTGGGTACTCGATTTATAGTAAAAACTGATAATGTGGAAAATATATTTATCAAGAAAAAGAAAAAGTTGAGTCTTAAACAAGCACTGTGACAAGAATTCCTGGTAGAATATGATTTCATGTGGGAACATAAACCAGGAAAACACAACCAGGTTGTTGATGCGTTGAGTAGAAAAGAACTGTTTGTTACAGTATATTCAATTTCAAAATTGGAAATGATTTCTATGATAGAATCAGGTTGTGTGTTGCAAATAATTACTTGTATGTTAAATGGATGGGTCAAGAGCAAGATGTCACAATGATACGGCATTGGATCGATGACGATTTGCTCTATTTTAAAGGGGGAGAATTGTTGTACCAAATCAGGGCGGGTTGCGCAAATACTTAATGAATGAGGCGCATGATTCTGCTTGGGTTGGACATCCCGGTGTTGAAAGGATGTTAGCCTTACTGTCTCGTGTTTATTTTTGGCCGAAAATGGAAGACGATATAGAGGCATACATCAAGACTTGTCATGTTTGTCAAGTGGACAAGACAGAATGTAAGAAAGAAGCAGGTTTGCTGCAACCCTTGCCTGTTCCTAAAAGGCCATGGCTATCAGTAAGCATGGATTTCATTTCTGGATTCCCTAAAGTAGATGGCAAAGCATCTATCATGGTGGTAGTTTACAGGTTTTCAAAATATTCTGTTTTTATTGCTACTCCTGAATTATGCTCATCTGAAGTTACTGCTGATTTTTTCTACAAAAAAGTAGTTAATTATGTTGGTGTTCCGGCAGACATTGTGACTGATAGAGATACAAGGTTCACATGTAGATTTTGGACAGCATTGTTCAATATGATGGGAACTGAATTTAAATTTTCTACTGCATATCATCCATAAACAGATGGATAGGCTGAATGAATTAATAACTTTTTGAAAGAATACTTGAGGCACTATGTGACAGCAAGTCAACGGAATTGGGTAATATTGTTGGACACTGTGCAGTTTTGATATAATCTGCACAAGTCGTCTGCAACACAAATGAGCCCTTTTGAAATTGTCTTAGGCAGACAGTCAATGACGCCACTAGATGTTGCCAAATCTAAAAATCAGGTAAAGTGTCCAACATCATACAGGGTTGCAAGGGACAGACTTGAAATGTTATCCGAGGCACAAGATAGATTGCAAGGCACAGTGGCGCATGATGAAGTTTGCTGATCAACATCATGGCTCAGTTGAGTTCAATGTGGGTGACAAGGTGTTGCTGAAACTTACTCCACAAATCTTGAAATAGATTGTAAGTAAGACCAGACATCGGGGATTGATTCCTAAGTATGATGGTCCATTTGAAGTGGTGAAACGAGTGGGCGAAATTTCTTATAAGTTGAAGCTGCCAAAAAGGTTGAAAATCCATACAACTTTCCATGTGAGATTCTTGAAACCTTACTTCGCAGATGCAGATGATCCGGATAGAAACACGTCAAAGTGGGCTCCTCCCTTAGTACCTACACAATATGTTGCTAAAATTGAGAAGATCATTGATCACCGGGTTTCGGGCACAAGTAAGAAAAATACTAAGACAGAATTCTTTGTTCATTGGAAAGGAAAGAGTGCAGCGGATGCAGTTTGGGAGAAGGCAAAAGACTTATGGCAGTTTGATCCTCAAATCAAGGACTACCTTTAAATATTCTCGATGAGGAAATCAAGTTCAAGTGGTGCGGGTGGTCTGTTAGACCTGCAAACTACTTGATCTAACTACGTGCAGACATGTCAAGGTCTAGTGCATTGGTCTTGACATGGATAAGGGAAAAAAAGTTCAACACAAGTTCAAGGTGCTTGGGTGTTGGCAAGGCAGCTTGAATGTGCATGGCTTACGTGCGGGCTAAGGTCATTGGCAAGACAACTTGTTGACTTGATAAGGCAAGGGTGTGAAAACATTAAAATGTCAAGAACAAAGGAAGTTCACCCGAATTGGTGAAATAAAACTAAGTGTTGGAAGACAACTAAAATATTCTAAGTGTTGGAAGTTGGCAGAAATATTCTAAGTGTTGAAATGAAGCCTGAAATATTCTAAGTGTTAGAATATTAGTATTTCATGTAGATTAGAATGTAATTTGAATTAGATTATATCTGTTAGAAATATAGTTGTTGGAAAGATAGTGTTTAACCCTGTGATGACATGTGTCGGACAGGTGTCATTTGTAACTGCCGCATGTAACTGCCATTGTGCAGAATTTTTGTTTAGAGGTTGAAATTCGTCTAAGGCTTAGAAAGATTGTTTTTAGCCTTAGACTAGTTCGTGAAGCATTACTTTGTATTGATTACAGATTAATAAATGTTGGGACATGTTCCTGTAAATTCTGCTTGCTTTTTGACTTTGCTGTTTAAGTATTTTTATAGTTAGTCAATTTCGTGGGTGTGATTAGGCTGAGTGTTACAGACGTTTGTAAGACTGCCTAGAGTGGTGTGTGATAAAAATAAATCGACACTCTTTGACTTACCTAGCCACTTTACATATGTTGAAAATATACAGGTCTATATACTTATCGATGAACCTTCAGAGCGATAGGAGAAGGTAGTCGATAATTGACCTATGGACCGTAGGTTGGGGTCTGTAGGTCAGGCATGTTTTCGCTATCGAGTTTTAAACAAGTTCAACATAATTATATTAATATTTAGGGGTTTAATTATGGGTTAGGGGTTATTGATTATGTTAGTTAAGTTACCATATAAGCTACCCTAAATCTAAGCCTAAAAGATGACTACGTAGAAGATAAAGTTTAAGGGAATTATGTCTTCAAGAACATCACTTTCCTCTATCAATCATGAAGAATTACAAGGTATGGGAACCTTTCACCGTTGGGATTCCATTCCCCTAAGGGTTCTTTCAAATTGATTTCCAAAAGATGATATGAACATTGGTTTCTTGCTAATCCGAAAATTAAACTTTCAAATTATATTGTTGTTGATTTGTAATGATTACTTTTTTTATATTTTATGTATTATTAATCAATTATGGTCGTTCTTGATGTTAAATCTAGTATGTATTGATCCCAATTACCTAACCCTATGCTATGAACTAATGATGAATATGATTTGTATAGATGTAATTGACTTAGTTCTTGTGTTATTTACTATTGTAACGACCCCAAGTACACCCTAGAAGTTAGAGCATCTTTGTGTATCAACACGGCAAATGAGACTTCAAGAATTATCATCAAAGCCACTCGTATCATTCAGTGCATATTAAACATTGTAAAATGAGTAAGAATTTAAAACATTCTTCACACACGAAGAACTCTTTCCATAATCATTACGCAAGTGAAAATTTTCATTTAAAACAATAAACATTTACAATATCTCATTGAACAATCTAAACATTGGAGTATACAACACTTGGGACGAAGCACATCAAGACATAAAATAAAGACAAAGACATTAAGGAACATGTGGATATTGTCCTCAAATTAATGAGGACTGACGAATACTTCATCTTCAACCCTTATAAACCTATGCATCCACCATCTTATATCAAGACTTTTAATACCCTACACTTTAGTCAATAAGGGAAATGAATGGGCTAGCACATTAGATGCACTACGTATGTAAGCCATGCCAAATACATTAAAAAGGCACATTTACTAATTAGCGTGCTTTTAATGAATTTTGATTAAAACATCATACTATAAGCATAATAAAAATATTTAATTCCTTAGGAACACATAATAAATCATTAAACCAATTATTCACATTTTTAGAATAACATTAAAGTATGCATGTTCATTCTTACGGTGAACTCCTTTACTGTTGTAGTGAAGCCTGTAAACTTCGCATAGAAAACTTCCTAGCATGCAATCCCCTCACAAAAATGTATCCTAAGAATCACATAATTAAGAAAAATAGAAATCAACCATACACCCTCTCTATGCAAAACTAAAAGATCCTTAAAACCACCTATAGTCAGATACAAACCAAGCACAAAAACACATGAGGATGGGCTCCTCCTACCAAAGGTGATTCTATGTGTCACTTGAGTGAGTTGTGAAGTGACCGCAATATAATCCCTTAGACACACACTTAATAAATCCTGTAGACTACCTATGATTGAATCATTCTCACTTAATACCTCAACACATGGATAGTATGACATTCCTCTTCCAAAGGCTATCAAAAGACTTACTTATGTAAATCAAGAAGATTACGTCCATGATTCAACTCCTCAAGATTACCTCAAGAATATGTATGACTACGTATATCTTAGATCATGTCTACATAATCAACCATCTTCCCTAACTCGAGTCATTCTTAAGACTTATCTCGGTAAAATGCGAAGTGACCGTTCTTATGCCCCTTCACACCTTAACTACTATGGATAAGTAATTATTCATTTAACATACTTTCGTTTGTTAAGTCTTTACCTTAATTATTTCATTGAAGACTCATTCATCTTATCAGGATATTTAAGTAATGGTCTTGGACAAGACCTCTGGACTTTAACTAACACCTTTTAAGCCTATTGTGAAATCTATAGATAGTGTCCCAAACCACAACCTAAACTTCATGAAACCTCTCTAATACTAGTAGGTATCCCATATTATAAGAATTTGCAATAACCAACATAGACCATGATATCTAGAAATGGTATCTGGGTTCTAACCTACTCCTAAAAGGGTGTTCTACTTGTCAAGGATCAAACTATGACACATCACATGTAGGCACATTGTTAAGGAATATGAAGGGCTTTTATGAACTCTAGTCTCATTCTCAAGTAGAGATACATTGTACTCTACTATCCTTCTCAAGTAGAGCTACTTCCCATGAAATACTCACTCCGTGCTACCATTTTTTCTCATAGAGTAAGTGAGATTAAAGGATCACATGATGCTGTTCCATATCTAGTTCATAACCTAATCACATTTACCGTACCAAAGAGGTCCGCTAGGAATACCTATAAATGGCGACTTAGATAGGTCATCATGAAATTCCTAAGGACTATATGTTGTCGTTATAGACAACCAACACAAAGTCCATCATCCTTTACATGAAGGATACAATTACGACACTTTGACTTAAAATTCATAACATAACCTTACCATTAGGTTTAAGGTTCCACGTACACGACCTTCTTAAGATCATTTAAGGTCTCACATATCATTCACTCATACAAGACAAGGGTGCACTAATCCTTCCTAGTCAAAATATATCATATTAAAATATCAATTCATTCATGTATCAAGTAAGGGACACTCGTCTTCCAAAACAAGACACAACATTCATTACTTTTTATTATATACCATATCATTCTTTGAAGCACTTAGGAATGACCCTTATCATCTTCATGCCATCCTACACATTACTATAACATCATCAATATGACAATCGTAGACTCATATAGTCAAATAGGACCAATCATGCATCAACTCTAAGACTACACTCATAAGCACATAGTCATTGTCTTACATGAGTACCTAATATCAATAGAAGAACACATATTTCACTTAATCACTTGTAGATATATATGGTAATACCCAAAATAAATAAACTACACAAATCGTCATAATACTTCAAATAGTGCCGACAAGGCTATGCTGATCATATTGCATAATGTAACACCAACAAGGCCACATTAATTCACATAGCACCGCCTCCATAAGTGGACCATACCAATCCCCAGTGTAATACAAAAACAATACATAATATTAAGAGATTTAGGGCAGCATAAAACCCATTCCATCTCACCTCTTCAATCCAATGCTAAATGATCCAATTCAATACCAATAGGCCCTTAACCATTGCCATGGACATCAATTCAATAAATAAACTATAATAATCAATAAATATAGGTCAATTAAATATAGATTTAACAATCTAAGACAACCTCGATATCAATTTAATACAATTATTACATAAATCAATAGATAATAGAAAACTACACTAGAATTCATAAGTAGTATGTCAATATTAATTCAATCAACCTAATATTAAATGGATATAGTAATATATAATTCTCAATTGATCAAATTTTTAACATCCTATGAACCAAGAAATTATAATCTATACATGAATCAGAAGCCTAGAACAATCTACACTTGAATTCATCTATACCAGAATATGATCACATAACCCATATTTTAGTTTAATTGAGAGATTTGAGAAGGTCGGGGGTTCATGAAGAATTTCGTTGGAAAATATTATTTATACATCAATAATATCATACGTTAATAATTGGAAACATTTCATGCAAGAACCCAAGACTTCTAGTAGAAATTGGATTTTTCATCTTTGAAATTGACTGTAAGGCGATGGAAAGCATTATATGAAGAAGTGCCATACTTTATTAGAAGAATTCAATGATAATTGAATAATAAACTCCATTGAAGATCCATCTTCAAGCTCTATCTTCACCTTGAGCTCTCATTGAGGATTTTGAAGAAACTTTGGGAGGGAATGGGTTTTGATTTAGGTACTAGGATTTAAAAATGGAGTTTTTTGACTTATAAAATCTTAAAATAACAGAAAAAAACCCAAAATAACCGTCATCCTATTTTGTAAGACTTTGTTAATTTCTCAAAAACCCCAAGCCTTAACAAAAAATTGTAGGTAGTTTGTAGCATCATCTACGCCCTAGAATCAACTATCCGTGTGTGAGACCACGCTCCGTCTATGGGGGTCTTACTGGTTTCT